TATATTGAGCTTACCTTCAATTGAGACTGAAAAAAATACTGATCTTGGGAAACTTGCGTTGTGAGCCATCAGAGTTTTAAATAAATAATATAAACTCGTACACAAAACTAAAATAAAAACTTAAAATAATCACAGATAACAATTACACAATAAAAAACAACAGCCACTAACGAAACACGCAATACTAATAAATATATAAATAAATAATTAGAGCACCCACACACAATACCAAAATAAATAAAATTCAATCATGATTTTTTTCTATCGCGAATAAAACAGTTAATAGCGATCTGCGATCTGCGAGCTGGTTGCCCGTTACACGTTGAATGATCTCATGATCTGTGATTTCGCGCGGGATTCTTCACCCTACCCGCGCTGATACAAAGTACAGAGAGGATGCTGAAGAAAACAACACTAGGAATGCGCATGCTCTGCATACATCATATAAGCGCACGCATTTTATCCATCCCTACCCTTATAAAATATATTTTACTCCATAATCGCGATTATTTCTACTCCTTGGATATCGTGTCTGTTACCCTTTATGTGTTTATTATTATTATTATGACTACTATTTTGTATTGTATTTATCATATCATAAGCTTGTATTGTTTAACTATCGATAAACTAAAAAATTATTATATTTAATTGTTTAAATTAAAAACAACAAGTACCTATTATTGAGTCTATTGCATCGTTAAGATGCGAGATGGGGTTACTAGTTATCTGAATTAAATAGAGAATAAATACATGTATATTCACTATTTTTTTAGCTTACTTTTGCAAATATTACTGTATATCTTTACAAAAAAATATATATTTCGACTAGAGTTTTAGGCTCAAAAATTATCTATATTATTGGATGAAATTATGAAAGTTATTAAAAATAATATTTAATTACTTTAGTTATAAAGTATACACATAAACCTACAAAAGTAGTTTTAAAATGAGAAAAATAAAATGTAGACACAAAGTAAAGAAATATGGTGGAGAAAAAAAAAATAAAATAAAATAAAAAATAAATAAACACAGAATCGTCGACGCGTAAACGTGTATCGCTCTTCCGTGTCAACGTCGCCGAGCCTAGCCGTGATGACTGGTGTCTCGACTTCTGATTTTCATTCAAGACAGGACAGGCTCCAAGTGCGATAACTTTTAATTCTGGATTCATCAAAAGATACTGAAAAATATTAAAATAACAATAAAATATATAGTATAAACTTTTTAATGATTATATATAATTTATAATTTGTGATATTAAACTTAAAATTTTAATTACAAATTAATCTAAATTATCAAGATTAATTTATACATCTATGTATGGTGTATACATATATGGTGTGCAAAAAATAGAGGAAAAAAAAAGGAGTAATAATAATAATATAACAAAGGTTTGTAAGAAAGGACGGAGGCATGTAATACTAGGATTGCAGCGACTCCTCTTCACACATCCTTGGCAAGCTTTTTCGCTTTTTTTCAGGGATCAAGTGCGGCTGTACGCATAATAGCTACCAAGTGTGCACCCTTTACTTACATACATATACACACATATATATACATATATAAATACTTGGAGCCTAACGATAAGAACTCAAGTGTAATATAAGGTACCTATATACATATACATTGCAGAGTTGAGTAAAGAGACCTGCTGCGCTAACGTTTTATTTATTACGGTTGATGACGTTTTTTTTTCCGTCATATGAATATTACCATTTTTCTCGTCTCTGGTTTCTTTTCTTTGGGAGCTGGTCGTTTTTTGGCTCTATCTTTAAAGACTAAAATCTCAAAAGAGCATTGTCTATTTTTTCATTCATCACTAGATATACTTGTCATCGTCGTCTTCATCATCATCATCAACATTATCGTTATTACTACATCTATAACTCTATAATATTTATCATAAAAAGAATTGATATTTGATATTTGATATTTGATATTTGATATTTGATATGAATATAGGTATAGTTATGTTTATAGATTGAGATAACTACGGTAAACTATAAAAGGTAGTTGAAGCAAAGTAATTTGCGGAACTTTTGGGTGGTAACATATCTCAAAGACAAGATCTTACCGGTCACGGAAAATGGCTCGCGCAACCCGCAATCTTAGAGTTTAATGTCTGGTCTGGTACCAAGTACCAAGTACCAAAGCTAAGCTAGATGCTGGAAGTTACTAACCCATTCACTGGACATAAGTATATGTATATCAAATGAAACACATTGAAACAGAGTTGATACTAAAACCGGTATTTATCTATCTATCTATATATGTTTATTAGTGTGTCTTGGTATTAGTATAGTACAGTAGAGAGACAGCAATCTAAGAAACAGCATCTTCTATTCTGTATTCCTCTATACCCATAGATTCATCTAATATTTGCTCTAAGATATAAGATATTGTAATCACAAAGGTATCTCTTGGACTCTGACACATTCATCAGCATTCATCACTATTCATCAACATTCATCAACCATCAACCTCTATTCAATACAACCCTGGTCAAGACCACTCATTAACTCCAACCTCTATCTTTTTATTCTGTCTATAATGATATGCTTTTTACATTTCAAATGTTAAATAAATTTCATAATTATTTTTTTTTTTCAAATTTTAAAAATAAAAGACCTATATAATACAATATTTGTAATTAAATTCCAGATCCCGGTAGGGTTTATTCTCACTCGTCACTTACTCACTCAACCTCTCGTTATCGTACAATATTGTTAACGTCTATTAATTAACTCGCTATCGGAAATAATTGCATGTTCAATAAATATCCCTTATACACATATATACTCACACATACATAATACCTTTGATAAATGCTAAAAATTTATTATATTTTTATTATTAAATTTAATTACACGTCTCGAGTATACTTTATCGACAGTTAATTAACAATAAATAGTTTATTTATCCAAATGTAAAAAATTCATCTTCTTTGTTGTGATTATTATTATTATTATTATTATTATTATTATTATTATTATTATTATTATTATTATTATTAAAAATTTATTATATTTTTATTATTAAATTTAATTACACGTCTCGAGTATACTTTATCGACAGTTAATTAACAATAAATAGTTTATTTATCCAAATGTAAAAAATTCATCTTCTTTGTTGTGATTATTATTATTATTATTATTATTATTATTATTATTATTATTATTATTATTATTATTATTATTATTATTATTATTATTATTTTTATTTTTTACCGGACACGGGTCACAAGATTTGTTTAGCTTTGACGTTGTTGTTATTTCTTGATTTGATATTAAACCTTTCTTATTTAATTTATTATCCTGTTTTAAATTTTGAATCATCATATTTTTATTGTTCCGAGGAATATCTTGAGGTAATAAAAATCCATAACAGTCGGCTAATGACGCTGATCCACGAATAATCGCCCGACCTATTAATGCTTCTGTTACTGCTTGTTCCCACTTTATTTTATCAACATCGGTACGTAGCTTACATACCTATTTTTTTATTGAATAATATTCATTAATTAACCATAAAATTTTTTAATTTAAAAATTATAATAAATAATATATAATTAACCTCTCTCTCTAAAAAATCTAATCGTTCGTTTTCGTTTATCAATTTATTTTTTTCGTCAATTTTTTGTATACCACTATGCTCATCTGATCGAAACTCTGTCATTTTTTTGGTTTTTAAAAATATTTATTTAATAATTGACAAATTTATATCACTGAAAATTTTTTTAGCAACTAACAAATGAAATTAGCAGGATTTTTTATTATTTATAAATTTGTTACTCTGTTCATTTCAAATAATAAAACTTGTTTTTTTTTTTTTTTGTTTTTTATTTAATATTTCAAAATAAACTTTATTGGAATCGAATAATTAATTATTAATAAACCCAATACTGGACGGTAAAGAGAAAGATTAAAAGATTACAATTTATAATGAATGTAATGAAAAATTCAATTTCATTAATAGTTCCTGAATTAATTAATTAATTAATTAATTACTTTTTTATTATTTTTTTTTTTTTCACAACAGAAAGTTATTATATTAATTTTTTATGATAAAAGTCATTAGATACTTTGAATTAAGAGTATTTAAATAAAACATCTAAGTTAAATATTTGATAAGAACAGAGTAAATTAATCACACAAATGAATAGGAAATGTTAAATTTGAAAGTGAATATACATATAAAATATAACTATGAGAAGACTGTATAACGATCTCTCGTTAGAATCATTTATTCGGAATATACGTATATTATGTGTATACACACACATATGCATAAGTAAAAGTATGAACCGCAGCCAGGAGAAGAGAAAAAAAAAATAAAAAATAGCGAACGATACAACAAACAAATAAACAAACATGAAATATATATGTATGAGTATCCGTAAAATATAAACATACGTAAGCACAAATATATATAATAAAAAAAAAGTTAAACAAGAGAGGTGGTTAAAAAAAATTGTCGCATTTTAAATTATTTAGTGAAAGAGTTTTTACTTTTAACTTGGTAACGTAAAGAGTATAGAAGTTGCTGTATTATAACGATCATGCTCGTTTGTGACGGATTATTTTACAACTGTGTATATGTATGGGTATTTTTTTAATAAGATAAAATTCTTTAGTTTTTAATACTTGGGAAATTAAAAAATTTCATTCAAAAATAACACAACTAAAAAAAATTTATAACTGTATTATTATTGAGCACAATGAATATAATAATAATAATAACAATAATAATAATAATAATAATAACAATAGTTTGATGAGAAAAAATAAGAAGCCGTACGTCTAGTCAACGTCTATATATACTACACTATTTTTTCAAGCAGCTGTAATTGATATGTGTAGTACACGACAACCCACAAGTTTACTTGTAAATCAATAATCTATAATACATGTTTTATTATCAACGAATTATTTTTTTATCTTTATTCAAAGATTTATAGTTACCATACTAAAACGGTTATAGGTGCGTCTAATAAATGAATATTAATTAACTACTGCTTCTATTGGCTTGGCTTTAGTTTCCCGGTAGTTGAATAATTCTCTGTGAAAAGTACTTGCAGATCGAGCAAGTAGTAAGTCTAAGGGAGTAAAGGAGGTGTATTTTGTAGTGGTGGTATTCTCTTGTATATTAGAGTAATGGCAACCCCTATCATATATGTATACGCCTTATACTGTGCCTAAGTAGGAGCACTTTTGGGGTAGCTCGTTAATCTGGGTACACTAGTACCGTATGTCTAAATACTAATACACCCATACACGCTCACAAAGATAGAAGGAGCAAAAGCGACACGACTCTACTCAAAAACAACTCAAGTACCAACCGAGACATGCGAACTATTATTATACTTGTAAGGTAAAGGTAGGCAAAGGCATCTCTTCATCTTACTTCTTCCAAGTCTTGGTCGTCATTTTCAACGGTCCTTTTGCTCCTCTTTCTTCATTCCTTTTATCAAAAAAAAAAAAAAAAAAAAAAGGGAAGGGGAAGAGAAAACAACATTATCCAGTAGTCCTCATTAGAGCAATATATAATATTTGTTTTAATTTCATTTTTATGTTTAGTAACATTGTAACTTTTTTAAGAATAAGTTTTAACATTATTCAACACATCATCAGTTAATTAGTTCATTGAGTTTCTTAAATTTGATTAAAAAAAAAAAAAATACAAATAATTTGGATTTAAATTAGTTATAAACACAATCTGAAATTATTGGACGTGGTATATGGTAACCGATCAACTTGTACAAAATACGTACCATACAATGACACTATAAGTACTATAAGTGTTACCAACATATGAATCTTACAGAGCTCTATTTTTTCAACAGGAAAAAATTCGATAAAATAAATATAAAATCTGAAGTCTTAGAGTAATCAATACAAGAGCTAGACAGTTAACTTTACCAAAAATCAATAGAACAATAAGTACTAAAAGTGCAATTTATGTTGCAATTAAATATTTTAATTTACTTTCTAATAATCTGAAAGAGCTAAATTATACCAAATGGTTAAGAAAACATATTGTAAGATGGATAAGATCAATTATACTTTAATTCATGATAAATTGTATTTATGTAAAAATTTTGTAAAATTAATCTTAATTTACTCTGTACACTATTTACTTAGTTAATTTAATATTATGTATTAATTTTTTATAAATGTATTATATTTTTCTGATGTCTAATGCACAGGTGTTTATTGCACCTCTATAGAATTGCTTTACCAGAAGTAAATAATAATGAATATTTATTTTTATATGAAATTAAAAAAAATAATTTAAGGGTAAATTTAATTAAATAATAATTGACTAAAACTTATTCATCATAATTAATTTATTTAGTTAATTGTAACATCAATATTCATGATAATGTACATATGACGATGAATATAATGATACATAATTAGATATCTGTTTATTTTTTTTTTTTTTATTTTTATCGTAAAATATAAAATTTATGAACTAAATGATATTTTCTTTTTTCTTCGTACAATTAATACAACAGGTACATGAACTAGCGTAATTACAGGTATTTAATAACAATTCCAGCACATTATTATCATTGTCAAAATTATTAAAATCACCGGATGAGTTACAATCACGTTGAAAATTTGAATTATTTATAGACAATTGCTTAATGTTATTATAAGTGATATTTAAATCTTTAAATGCATTTAATAAGAATATTGCTATGATAATAACAAATAACCCGCATAAATTACAAATAAAATTTTGTATATTCATGTGTTTCCATTCATCAAATAGAATACTAGTAGTTATTAACACAAAACTAGTAAAACCAACGTAATAAATTGGAGTAACAATTGCTGTATTAAATAAATCAAGTGCCTTATTGAGATAATTCATTTGTATCATAATACAAATGATTATTGAGAGTAAAAAAAACCAAGTTAAGTAATTCTCCATTTCATTAACATCGTAATAAATAGAATCAAGTATTGCGCGTCCTAATCCTTTGCAACTTACCACTGTCAGCGAACCAAAAAACGAGCAAATAAAAATGTATATAATAATATTATAATTAGTATTCCTAATGTTATTATTATTATTATTAATATTATTGTTATTGAGTTTTGTGGGTGTTATGCAATAAAATATTATATACAAATTTATTGATATCATAATAGTAACGTAAATGATGAAATTATGATTTTGCAGTTTATCGATTAACTCTTGGAATGTTTTATATTGTTCGTCCTTTGGTGCATTTAATATTATTATGGTTGTACCTAAAATGCAAAGGAGGCATCCTACCTATAATAAATGGAAAAACATTAATTCATAGTCAACTCATAAAAATATGAAAATGAACTAAACTCTAATAATATAAGAGTACCTACAAATAAATAAATAAGAAAAAAAAACTACTACCTTTCCAAGCAAGTTGATTTTTTCATTCAAATATTTTGATGATAAAATAGAGGTAATAACTATGCTAAGTGCTCCTAATGGCGTTACTACAGAAGCCGGTGCAAATGCATAAGCTACAAAATTAGCAGCTTCGCCAATACCCACTATTAAAATGAATCATTTACATAATAAATATACTGTATAAAAGGAAATAAAAGGAAACAATAGAAAAAAAATGATTTACTTGTCAGAAGACCGGACCACCAGGTGAATTGTCTCAAGTAACCATGACCTCCTTCACCAGCACGAATCCCATATCTTTGTAATTGAATCAATGCTTTTTTTTTAATGATAAAACTTGCACCTAAGGATAATTTGTAACTATTAATTAACGAAAAATTTTAAATAATTTACTTGAATTACCTATAAAAATATTAGAACTAATTGCTAGTATAATTCCAATATTAAAATCCCAATTTGAAAAATGATACTCCATTTTATTAATGTCATATCTGAGTTTTTTGTCACCGTTGTTGATAAATAAACACTCCGAAATATACTAGCAACAGCTCAGCGCAGGTCTAACATCCGGATATATATTATAATATATATATATATATGGTGGTACTACAAATGAAAGCTCTTAATGAGTGTAACATCGGAATGAGCTTATATTTTGAAAATCTATGTTATATATATGTATATATAAGAAATTACTATTGACTTTTTTAAAGATATAAGCTCATCCCGATGTTACACTCATCGAGACCTTTCATTTGAGTACCCACATCAATTTTTCATATATTTTATATATATATATATATATATATATATGAAAAATGCATGTGGGTACTTAAATGAAAGCTCTTGATAAGTGCAACACCAGGATGAGCTTATATCTTTAAAAAGATCAATATTTAAGAAAGTACACTACAATTTAACAAAATTCATTATTTAATAAAGCAAAATTTTATTTATTTATAGTTACTGTTAGGCTGCTCGTAATAATAATAATAAATTATTAATTTTTTATTTTTATCATCAAAATTTTCTCTAAATAAAAAATAAATATTTTATTTTCTCTAATAAAATTTTCCTCTTATTTATAAATTTATTTACCAAGTTATTGATTCAGTATATTTATAAATTTAAATCAAATATAAAAGTGAAATACCCTGACATTTCTATTGTGATATTTATCTAAAGCTACAAAACTAATTTCTATAAATGAATTACCATTTGACACAGTTATTATGTCTGTTCTTTTTTTTAGTATTCTAAAGATCACCAAGCTCGGCATGATCCATCCTTACAATCAAAAACCCCCTTGACTTTTAAAACCCACAGCAATAAATCGCGGAAATATATTCAAGCCTTAAAAGCATAATTTGATGATAAACGTAAAATTATACAAAAGTAAAATGTATGATAAGGGCTATTGGAATGTATAGATTAACTCTGAACAGATACAGAAGGATAGTATATAGTATAGATTGGGTAAAGCATGTCGATACTTTAGTCCCAAGAGACATTGATGGACAGCTCGTATGCTTATATGGGTATTCAATATAAGAGGGAAGAGCCTGTACGTCAATGTACGTTTACATATTTATGTTATGACCGTCCTTAGCTTTCGATTTAATTGACGGAATAGCCATAAATTTACGATTGCGTTCATTTAAAGCATGTTTACGGAGAATACTTCTGGCTAACGATTACTTAAAGATGACATTTTAAAAATTTTACATAAAAAATCGAAGGATTTATTATTGCACAGGAAGAAAAAATTTCTTGAGCAAAAATATTAATTTTAATTTTATTAGTTGCTTATAATTAAAACTTCTATTAAAATAAATAAAAAAAAAAAGTCTTCAAATAGAATAATACTCTTCACTAACAATTATATCAATATTCCCAAAGCTTCAAAATAAATAATTGCTCTGGATATTGGATCCGGACTAGTGTGTAAAGAGTTACAGTAACTTTAACAATCCCCCACCACTCAATCCCCAGAATGATGACAGAATCTTAGATACAGTTGTTAGCTAAGGACCGGTCCAATAGCTCAAGCTCAAGCTCCCGGTCCAGGACCGGTCAGTCGTAGTATATAGTACAGCCGGGTGGGTGAATTGTGAGCGGGCAAATACTGACTATGCATAACAATCGATCTACCTTCCCAGGAAACTCCAATAGGAGCTTTCGGTGGTATTAGTGATCGCAGACAAGAAGGAGAACGAGGAGGAGGTGGTGGTCAGCCGGGAGAAATAGCCAAGAGGCAGTCGAATAGACGGGGAGGTTCTCCTCCGCCGAAAATGTGATGAGACTCTCGACTATCGGGGTAGAACTGTATTACAAGTACCCGGGATGCTAACCAAGCTGCGGCTGAAGTCCCGAGCTAAGACAGCGTTACGGGTACAATCCGTACAGCTACGAGTAGCAGTCTGAATCGTAACCGTCACGATCTATTCGGCGCCATTCACGAAACGTATAGCTACTGTAGTATACCGTTTTCCTAACCTCACTCTCCTCTAGATGGTAAAGTGTAGATCGTGATAGTAGCGATCTCGTATCGTGCGGAGCAGAAAACTTTTTTTTCAGCGTACATATAAATATATGAAAAATTGATGTGGGTACTCAAATGAAAGGTCTTGATGAGTGTAACATCGGGATGAGCTTATATCGTTAAAAATGTCAATAGTTCACGAGATACAAGGTCATTTCTTAATTATGTATCTAGAGATAGAGTATTTTCAAATACAGCCTAAATACTTATCATCATAAATTGACTATTGATGAGAATGATATAAAACCTTAAAAAGGCACAACTCCAGGTCAAGACCTTTCCAACGATACCTAATTTAACCATAAAAATCAATTTTATTATATAAATACACTGGCGACAAAATTTTTCTTATTCTCTTAATAATATAAATTAGTTTCAGATCAGATTTAAAATTCTAGTCTAAATTTTTAAAATACGGGAAAATCATAAGAAAACTTTTTTGTAGGAAATTTGTTTTACTCTAAGAAAGGTCCCTATCAATTTTCCTATATCTCTTATCATTAAGCCGAAATTTCAATTTTAAATTTGATTTTAAATACACCAAACAATTTTTTAAGAAATAAAATTCTAAAAATAGAAAATTGACTAAAGAAATATTTTAAGTATTTATCTGAGTTTGAAGTTTAATTCACGGTTTGCAGCGTCTAGACTCGAGATATTTATTGGCAGAACGTCATGCCTGTAAGCAGTAAATTGGAGTTGTCGATGTGCGGAGAAATATTTATTTATACAATGCGGAAATATACGTGTTATGTCACACGTTTTGTCTTTCATGACATTTTCATCACCGGACTTTGAAGCGTATCGTGAGTTGAGCGTCTAGCACGTATTCCATCATCAAAAAAATGTCATTTCGTTCCTGCCTACCCAGTTTTCGAGATGTCGGTTGGCAGATGATACTTGTAACCTTTTCCGAACGACGCCTCGCATATTTAATCTTCCAGTTATTCAGTTTGTTTATAAAAAAAATATAATAATGTTATACAAAAACGCGAACCACGTATTTTTTAAATAATTCTCCGTCCGTCCGCGTGATCAGAAAATTTTTTTAAAAATCACGTACAAGTTGGTAATTTTTATTATCTTTTTTTTTTTTGTAACTTGCGAAAACTCCAAAGAGGTACTTTTTAACTAGACACGAAAAATATAGAATTAAATCAAGGGCAGACTATAAACTTGCTCGGAAATGTTTACTCAGTTTTCGAATTCTATGGAAGGAAATTAGAAGTTTTAGTTCAACATAAGTTTTTTCCTTACTTGTAATTTTTTGTCTTGTTTTTTATACCTCTCTTGAGTTATCTTTCTCATCTGTTTTTATTCTGTTACAAGTTGCAGCCGATAACTGTATCCACTTTGTTGGACGGCGAGAAAATTCGACAGAATTTTATTTTAATAGATACTACAGAATAGTTACTGAGTCTGAATTTCATGGAGTAAAATCAAGAAGAATTTATAAAGAATTCGCAAAGTATTTCCCGACGATTATAGGATCACCGGGTAGTCAGGAAATCTGGGTCATCAACTCTACTCGTGATCAATAGAAAACAAATATGACAGCAAGGGCTTAAATACGATGTTATGAAACTAGCTTTTTAAATTATTACTCTTTTTTTTTTTTTTTTTTTTTTTTTTTTTTTTTTTTCAATTCGCAAATAACTAAAATTATGCAATTTTTTTTTTTTTCAATATGATAAATTACTTTAATAATGATAATAACAATAATAATAATAACTAACAACCAATCTCAATATTATAATCATAGACAATATTTTTAAGAAAAATTGTTTGAGTTTGAAATAAAAATAAGAATTCCAGCTAAAGGATAATATATGTAATAAAAATAATAAGGAACTTTCTCAGAGTAAATTAAATTTCTAACCAAAAAAGATACTTGTGATTTTTCGTATTTCCAATATTTAGACTAGAATTTTGAGTCCAAACTTTTGAAACTAATCTGTATAAAAAAGAGACCAATAGGTTATGGCTATTGGTTTCTTTCTCACACGCTAGTGCTGTCTCTCTTTTAATTGATAGAAAAGTGTGGTTGTTATTCAATAAAATGTTCACTCTAACTACGGTCAGAATAGAGAATACATGTTAGATGTACGATTTTTAGTTGCTAATATTTCGAAAATTAACGCCGCAAGGACTATTAAAAAAATTTATTCATATAGAGGACACTTAAAAGTACGCGTATTCAAAAATTGAAGAATATTGTAAGTTAAAGAATGAAGAAAGAAAAAATTGGAAAATGTAAGATTTTTCACAGTACCTCCTTAAGAGAATAAACAAAATTTTATGGCCAGTGTATTTATGTGATTAAATGGGTTTTTATGGTTAAATTTGCTATGGTTGGAAAAGTCTTGACCTGGAGTTGTGCCTAATGCTCTATCTCTGGATACATAATTAAGAAATGACCTTTTTTCTCATGAATTATTGACATTTTTAAAGGTATAAGCTCATCCCGATATTTTCATGTGTTATATATATGTGTATATGAAAAATATATCAAAATGCATGTGGGTACTCAAATGAAAGCTCTTGATGAACGTAACATCAGAAAGAGTTTACATCTTTAAAAATATCAATAATTAAGAAATGACCTTGTATGTCGTGAACTATTGACATTTTTACAGATATAAGCTCATCCCGATGTTTACCGAACGAGGTAAAGCTGGAGGGTTTTGCTGACGACGTGGCAGCACTAATACTTGCGCGGAACGAAAGCGAAGCGCAAGGATTGGTGAGGCTTGTTGCGGCCTCCATCAACACATGGCTTAACGATCATGGGTTGATGCTAGCCACTGCGAAGACGGAGGTGGTGGTACTCACAGCTCAGAAGTGGTTTCCGAACCCTTTCCAGACTCAAGTTGTGGATCAACACATCGAGAGTCGGCGGGCTCTGAAATACCTCGGAGTGACAATCGACTCGA